CGCCTGCCTGGCAAGCGCAAGGTCGTGAGTTCGGTTCCCGGTACCGGAGAAAAACAAAAACAAAAACAAAAACAAACAAAAAAAAATAAATAAAGGAGTGACTGGCCCTGTGTTCAGTAGGGCTGTCCAGGTGGCACTGCATATCTTGGAGCATGTTATCATCCCTGAGTTCGTTTACTCTTTTTTTTTTTTTCCTTCATGGTAGTGGGATTGAACCTGAGGCCTCACACATGCCAGGCTCCTTGAGTTTGTCTTGAAATCATCTCATGTCTCTTTTTGGTGGGGGTGGGAGTGGTACTGCGGAATAAGTCTAGGGTTTTAACATTATAAAGTACAATACAAGTATAGGGTATGATAGTACTTTTATAATGCTAGGCATAGTGGTGCATACCTATAATCTCAGCGCTCGGGAGGCTGAGGCAGGAAGATTGCTGTGCGTTTGAGGCAGCTTGGCCTACACAGTGAGTCCAAGACCAGCCTGAACTACATAGGGAGACCCTGTCTCAAAACTAAAAGTAAACTAAAATGCACAAAAGATGTTATCTGTGTGATGAAATTATAAGATAAAATTAGAGGTTTTGGCAGTGATCCATAAAATAATAATAATTGTTTCCTCCAATGCATGTCCTCCTAGAGAGTTTATGCAGTTGTGAACATATTTGTAGGTAATTCATTTCCCTGCATTTTTTGTTTGTTTGCTTTGTTTTCTTGGGACAGGGTCTCATGTAGTCTAGGCTGGCTTTGAACTCACTGTGTACCCAGGCTGGCCTCAGACTTCAGATTCTCCTGCCTCAGCCTCCTGAGTTCTGGTGTTACAGCTGTACACTACCATGTCTGACTGTCTCCCTCCTTTTTCCTACTGGTAAGCTGCAATCCATACTCTTTGATACTTCTTCTTCTTTCCTTAAATAACACCCTGTCTGTTTTATCATTCAGAAAGGGAAGACAGGCTGAATATAATGGTACGCACCTATAATCCCAGCAACATGGGAAGCTGAGGCAGGAGAATTGCAAGTCTGAGGCAGCCTGGACAACTTAGTGAGCCCTTGCCTCAAAATAACATAAGTAAAAAGACAAAGCTCTGTGGCAGAGTGCTTGTCTAGCATATGTGAGGTCCTGTGTTCAGTCCCCGCTATTGGGAAAAACAAAAGCTCAGGTGTGCTGCCCCAGTTCCTTCTCTGGGCCAGACAGGATGCCTGTCCTTTGTGCTTCCCGCACCCCCACATCCGTCTCCCAGCCTTGTCACCCTGCACTGTCCCCTCTGTCTGCAGGGCTCCCATCTCTTACCCCGCTGTGCTCTGGTACACAGTAAGTCCTTGGCAAGTGTTGACTGGGTGAATGGGTGCCTGGCGAGGTGCTGCCATTTTTTTTTATAACATTCAGGAATTGAGGTTGAGCTGCTTTTGAAGACCTAGGATGAACTTGGTTTTAAATGAGTTGAGCAGGTTGGACTTGCTGGCACCAGCTGCCGGGGGATCACTGGAATCCGGGTCCCGGAGCCCCTCGGAGGGCGATGGACAGGGTGTGCAGGGTTGGGGGTGGGGACAGCACTGAGAGCCAGGGCTCCCTTTCCCTGCTGTCCCTTCCAGTGAGGAGCAGCTCCCATCCTGTATTGATGCAGGGAAACCTGGTGGCCCTTGTGCACGACAGTGGAGACGCTGCGGATGAGGAGAACGACCTTCTGGTGAGTGGCCTCAGCCATCAGAGCCACCTGATCCTGCGGGCCGAAGGCCTGGCCACCGGCTTCTGCAAGGATGTGCACGGGCAGGTATGTGGGGTGTGGCTGTGCCGCAGGGAGCCAGGCCCGGGCCGCTCCCTCAGGTGGAGGGGGCCTTGGGCTGTGTGAGTACCAGCCAAGACCTGGTGTGTCTCCTTGGTGGCACCATTGTGACCAAGGTGGAGGGCCCCTCAGAGGACAGCAGAGCCCCTCTGCAGCACGCCACAGACGTTGCACATTCTTGTCACCAGTTCTGGGACAGAAAGGACTTGGGGAGGCCGGGCTTCCCTCACTCTGCCTACCAGAAGTCGGAGGCCGCTGCCTGCTGCCCCCCAGGGTTACTGTGCTTGCGCCTCATCGGGCATCTCCTCTGGGGCCGCAGCCTCCGATTCAGCCCACGCTGACTTCTCTTGATCCAGTAGTGGTGGTTGGAGTCATGGCCCAGAGTCGCTGGAAGGCGGATCTGGCAGAGCAAGCGAAGGAACAGGCCCTGAAACCCTGCTGGGGTGGTGTGGCCCACTGCGGGAGAAGTCCTGAAGGCCAGTTGAGGGCTGTGTTGTCCCTGTCCCCCAGGCCTCCCCTTCGAGAGTCATCGGTGTCCGTGCTGCCTGTGTGCATTCGCATATGTGGATTCAAAACACTGGTCTCGCTGACAGCACACAAGTGCACAGAAAGAAGGCAAAAGGAAATACACAAAAATACTGTCACGGTTTTTCCCTGGGCGACTTTTCATTTATTTTACTGGGTTATTTTGCATTCATGTTTCTGTAACTAGGAAATATGACTATGGCAATGGAAGGGAGGACTGTTATTTTTAGTTCACTGTTTATTTTGCAAGTTGGTCCCATTAGGAGCCTCAGTTGAAGGCCACAGTGAGGGCGCGGTGGGGTTCACTGTGGGCCGTCTCAGTGCTGCCCCCCTTGCATTCCGTCTGTCTCTGCAGCTCAAGGTCCTCTGGAGGAGGCCGTCCCAGGCCGCCGCCCAGCGAGATCGGAGCCTCACTTACCAGTACAAGATACAGGACAAGACTGTGTCCTTCTTTGCCAAAGGCTTGTCTCCTGCTGTTCTGTGACCGGATTTGGGGGCCACTAAGGCCGTGTTGGACTCTCTGTGGCTGTGGACAATATGGGCCAAGCAGGAATGGGTCTTGTTCCTAGGTAGCAGCATTTTCGGTGGGGCTACAGCTCCACGGTGACCAGCGAATGGTACTGTGGTGGTTTGTATGCTGTGTGCCCTGGCCCTGTTTGGGAAGCAGGCAGGAGTCTGGCCCCCGCCCCTGCCCCTGCCCCCGCCCCCGCCCTAATCACTGATCCTAGGGAAGCTGCCTTGTTGTAAGGACACTGAACTAGCTGCTAAAGAAACATATGTATTA